AAAAAGAGGAGTAGTGGGTATGCAAATCTAGACAAAGGTGGCCAGTGACTACCCAGAATACACTTGGCCTTTCTCAAACAAAAACTGTTAACATTTTCAACATCAGCCCAAGTGTCGGTGGCTGCCACCACATGCTCAGCTAGCTTAATGACTTCATCCCTAAAGTTTGGGGAGCATGCTTGGGTCACATGGCAGGCAAAATGGTCACTCTGACCCACAGGAAGACGAGAGGCTGGCCACGTGGAAGGCAGTGGAGGCTCCTGCCCATGCTGGACCATCCCCCCACTTGAGTTTCCAGCTACCTGCAGTCACATGGAAGTCCCAGCTGAACCCAATAAATCAAAAGAAATAACACATCTTTGTGTTTCATCACTAAGGTTTTTCTTTTGTTCCCAAGTTCTAGTGCATGCTAGGCAACTGCCTTGCCACTGTGCCACACCACATGCCCTCACCACCAAGCTTTGGGGTAGATTTTTATACAGCAACAGTTAAATCACTATAGCAGATGGTGATCTTTCAGAGCACTGTGAGATCCATTTGCTGGGTGGGAACAGCATACGAAGTAGAGGAAAGTAGAGCAGAAAACATAAGTACATTCCACACCTAGAAATATTTTACTTCTCCATTGCTGTGTAATAAATCATCTCCAAGCTAATGGTGAAAAGTAACCACCACTTACACATGCTCGTGACTTCCTGGGTCAGAGGCTTGGGCAGGTGCCCTGAGGCGGCTTGTCTTTGTCTCCCATACAGCCTCATTAGGGAAGCTCCCTTGGTTGAAAGCTGGGGCTTTGGTTCTGACTGTGGGGTAAGTGCTCTTTTTTTCTTTCTCAATAATGTCTCTGGGGCTGGCATATTTGTTAGGTTCCTCACTGACATGTTTGGCAGGTAGACTAGAAGATGGCAAGAGCAGCTGTGGATGGCCACCAGGCAATACTCTCTTTCCACAGTCGACATACAGCTAGCACAGGTTTCCTTCCAGCACAGTGGCTACGGGTGTCAGGACTTACTGGGTGGCCTGTTCCTTCACAGCAAGAGTTCCACAAAGCCCAGGTGGAAGATGCAGTCTTAGGATGTAGCTTCAAAAGTTTCTAAACACTGTATCTACCACTGAGCTATATCTCCAGCCCTTTACTTTTTGAGACAGGGAATACTAAGCCGGCCAGGCTGTCCAGGGTATTGCTAAGTGGCCAGGTTATCCCTCAGAATTCAGAGTGGGTGGGATTACAGGCACATGCCACTGATCTCAGCATACAATATTCTTTTGGTCAAGCAAATCACTAAACCAGGTTCAAATTTTAGAAGATCTTGTAGTTGGAGTTTACAAGGGAATGGATTTAATACAGGACATATAATTTATAGGATTATTTTATAATACTCAAAGAGTCAAATGCAAAAGAGTGTGCTCCCGCACTGTCCACACAATAGAGACCCAAGCTGAGGGCTTGAATCCCATGGCAACGTCCTCCACAAGTCCAGCTGATGACCTAGAGCCCATAGCAATGTCCTCCACGAGTCCAACTGGGGGCCTAGAGCACATGACAATGTACCATAAAAGTCTGTATCAAGGATCTGCACTGGGAAGGCCCAAAGGTTAATGGTGGAAGCTAGAAAGTCTGTGCCAGTGGGATGAAGGATCTGTACTGGAGCTGGAAAGCAATGCTCAAAGTAAGGACCAGAGCTTCCTCTAAAACAACTGCAGCCATCCTCAGTGACAGTGAGGACCCAAGCTCCTCTGATAACAGCTGAGTTTGTATGAGGAAAACCAGCGCAACAAGTTTCTCCGGAAGAATCAACAGCACACCGTCTCCCCCTCAGGCGCCAGGAAGTGATGCTCAAAGGACCAGAGTTCCTCCAGAGTGAACTGCAGCCATCCTCAGCAACCAAGAGGTCCCCAGCTCCAACGATAACAGCCGAGCTTATATCAGGAAAATCAGCACAACAAGCTTTTCCAAGAGGATCAACAGCACCACCTATTCTCCACTTCTCCTTTTTATGCTGTTGGCAACAACCTTCAAGTGGGCCTTCCACACCCAGCACCGCACTGACTCAGTTCGGCTGGGTGTTACAAGTTGACCATTAGTTAATCCACCGCAAGAGAGATAAATTGACTCCACTTTCATTGAGCAGAGTAGCTAAGAATTTGCAGTCCATGTTAAGCCGGAGGTTCTTCATGCAGCTCATCAAGTCTAGGATGCCATTTCTTGTATGCAGCATCCAAATTTCAGAAACAAACATGTTAAAGAATAATGATAGAATTTATGAAACATAGGGGGTACATACTAGGCTGTGATGTAAAATGTTCCTGGTGTACGATGTAGTCTTCTGAAAGCCTGAGCCAAGATGCAGTACTTGCAGACATCTAAAGGCTAAGACAATTTATATCCATTTTTTTTTGGCACTGGGAATTGAACTCAGGACCTTGTGCTTGCCAGGCAAGCACTGTGCCTCTAAGCTATATCCCAGGCCCAAGACAGTTTATAATAAGAGAGGTTTTCCCTACACTATATTTTTTTTCCATCATGGAAAATTCCATACTCAAAAGTAAACAAATATAGATGGGCATGGTGGCACATAGCTGTCATCACACACTCAGGAGGCTGAGGAACAAGGACTGAAGAGAGTTCAAGGTCAGCCTGGGCTACACAGTGAGACCCTGTCTCAAAAACAACAAAAAAGACTAATAAACCCTCATGAATCTATCACCTGCTTTCAATTATCAAAAGCACACGATAGATGTTGCTTCGTCTATGTCCTGAGATGTCCCTCTAGACATCATATGAACTCATCTGTGAGGATCTTGCCAGTGAGGAAATACATACAGCCTGTTAAGTGCCTTTCTCACAGTACCTAACATGCCTAGAAATAAACATTTACAGCCCTGAATACCTGAAGTAGTGAACACAGATTCAACCCAACTTCGACTTACCTCTGCTAGGAGGAGAGGGAAGTGTGGGGCATGCTATAATTTTCATAGATCACAAAGAGAAGCCAAAGACAGGACCTAATGGGCAAATCCAGAGAACATTGAACATATTAAGAGTAATACAAAGTATTACTTAATTGAACATATTAAGAGTAATACAAAGTATTCCAAACAATTCTCCACAGACTGGGGAGGAGGTAGGAAGAGAAGGCAAGCATGGCTGTTATGTATTTTTACTTTAAACGATAGTCATTTTACTTTAACAAAATGGAGCTGGGAGTATAGCTCAGCGGTATAGCATCTGTCTACCATGCACCACCCCATCACACACACTCTAGTAGGGTGTTGAAGACTGATGATTAAAATCTCTCCAACCCTATAGGTTTTGAAATGTGACAGTAGCTACAGTACCAAGTTACACTGCTTTAATTTTATGAGATCATTCTGCCCACCTGAGGAACTGTGGCATCTAAGGCAAAGTCCCAAGTCATCAACTCAACTACTCCCCATGAGTAAAAAAACTGTGCTCCAATGTTTTTCTGAAAGCAAAGGGCAAGACCTGTTTAAGGATTCATACTCAAATGACAAGGAGCTGTTGCTGAAGGTTCACATGAGAAAAGCGAGGCTCCCATTTAACACAAGGTGATTTGCACTGGTTCCTTGAAGCTGAGGAACAGTCCGCATGTAGATTCGTACCGTATGATGCATGAATTAAGCAAAATCCCAGCCCTCGGTGTGCGCAGATTTCAAGTTCTGCATCTGGATGCGGCCCAGGAGCTTGGCTTGTGCTGTGGTGCTGGGGCCAGAGAGGGGCTGGGTGGAGGAGATGCCTCAAGGCACTGCTACAAGCTACAAGAGGTGAGGACTCTCCTGTAGAGCCCCCAGAGGAATTGACTGCTCTCTTCTGCCACCTTCTTCTACTCCATGTTCCTGAACTGTGTGCCAGGTGTAACATGCATAGAAAATTGTCCTCAAGTAGCACCATGGGTCCTCTGTACTCATGGGTTCCACATTTCCACATCCAAAGAGTCAACCAACTTCAGCTTGAAAATATTTCTTAAAAATTTGCAACTGAGTCAGGCTTGGTGATGCATGCTTGTAATCCCAGCACTGTGAAGCTGATGCAGGAGGATCCCAAGTTCAAGCACAGGCTAGCCAGTTTAGCAACTTAGTGAGACCTTTTTAATCTCAAAGATTAAAAAGGACTGGGGATATAGCTTACTGTGAAGGCCTTGGGATCAACTGCCAGTACTGGAATTTAAAAAAAACCCTTGTTTTCTTTTTGTGTCTGTACTGAACACATGCAGATGTTTTTCTTGTCAGTGTCTCCTAAGCAGCAAGCAACTATTTCCACAGCATTTCCACTGTATAAGTGTAAGATATCCAGAGATGACTTAAAGCACATATGCAGGCTCTATGCAAATACTACGCATTTTACACAAGGGCCCAAGCAGTCATGGGTCTTGCTATCTTTTCTCCATGGATACTGAGAGGTGGCTGTAAGGCAAAATCACTGACTACGCATTCTCACTAGGGAAATAAGGCCAGGAAATGAGGAGACATAAAAGCATCTGAGTTATCTAAATGCATTAAGTGATATGTGGGTGTTGAGAATAGCAGCAATAGCACACTGGGTTACCAACCATCTACCCACCCAGCACCCACCGACACACCACGGAATGCAGGAAAGACTGGCCTCTTCCCCATGCCCTGCATCCCATTCAGGAACAGACAGACTTTGCAGGGAAAAAAGTAGAGAACAAAACCTCAAACCCACAATTACTTAGAGCAAACAGCAACTTTATCACATCAGCTGCCTGAACAAAAGGCTTGCAAACAGTGGGAAGAGTCAAGCTTGTCAGTGTCCCAACCCCAAACGGACTAGGGCACTTTCCAACCTGGTCTAACCAGGCTCAAGCTCCAGCAGGACCCCATCTTCTCTTTGCTGATGGTTGCAATCCTACACTTCCATTTTCCAGCTTTCTATCAGTTCATTTCCATAATGTACCTTCCAGACAGTGACAGTGCCTTCAGGGAACCAGTCTTGAGCAGGAACAAAAACAGCTGTGGCCAACTTTTAAAAATCATGGCTTATTCACAGAACTCTTTATTGGCAGTGGAAAATGCTTCAGTACTTTATTGAAAGAAAGCAATAAATAATACTGTGATAAAAATAGTTCAAAAGTAGACTGTACACTTTGTTACATAATCAGGAAGTTCACAAAAGATTAATAGAAAAACAGAACAGTAACAATGAATTGTACAAGTGAATTGAAAGCAGAAACCAAATGTAAAAAGACATGCTGCTTCTACCTATGTATCAGTTGCATAATAAATAATGCACCATGATCTGACTCCTTCCTTCCTGGCTTTTTAATATGCCATTTAAAAAGTAAAAGTTACACTTGCTACTTGCACAATCCAAAATGGCTATATCATCAAAATCTAAAAATGTATGACTAGGTTCATTTTTAAGCATGTTTACAAACAAATGTAAAAAAGATGACTTACATATGAAAAATAAGGCCTTTATTAGAGTTGCACAACTTTATTTTCAGGGTTTCCTGCCTTCATCTGCTCATGCAGTGATGCCTGTGAGATGTGAGCACAGTGCTCAATGATTGGTCCTCGAAGAACAACTGGAGAGCACCTTCCACCTGCTCACAGGAGAGAGGCAGCAAGAAGGTGCCAGGCTGGGGCCGGCCCCCTGGCCACTCTAGCCCTGCTGAGAGCAGCTCCCAGCTGATGGCTTCTGGTCAAGTCTCTGAAGACAAGCTTCCCAAGTCCAGAGACAGATGAGGAAATGGGAACCAGTGCTAAGGGAGGTTTTTAGTGTTCTGGTGTAACTGTTCAGTCCCAATTTTATTAGACGCTGATTTCTTGCTAGAAAAAGTTCAGTTAAGGTCAGTCAACCTTAAAATATGACAATAACTGCTTGGAATTAAGTCTGCTTATTTAAAATGATTGATGTAGAGCTAGGTGAAGGATAATGCACATTGCTTGTGTCATGACGATTTTATAAATGTAGTAAAATCCTTTTTTCTGTCATGGCTTATCATTAAAAAATTAAACAGTGATAATTACAATAAGTGCATAATTTACAAAAGCCCTATATTTGTTCATAGGATTTATACATACAAGCATTACAGTACATTCATTTGAAAGACTAAAATTAGGTATAAGAACATGAATTGATTCAAGAGGATATTTATAGCCTGGATATACATGAAAAAGTAAGTAACTATATAAATGAAAAGTCATAAGTTTACATAAATATAAGAAACATTAAATTCTAAAATATTTTCTCTATGGTATTCATGAATTTTTCACTAATTAAAAACTCTGTAATAAAATATCTTAGGGTCCATATAACAAGTATTAACAGATTAGAGATTCCACTGAATTCAAAAATGTAGTCTCTGTTGGATTCAAAATGCTGCATAATCATCTGTAGAAGTAGTGTGGGTAAACTGGAAGATAAAAACAAACAAAAAGCCTTTCTTAATACAAACCACCTGGAAAAGGATCGTGAACTCAAGACACGAATGCTGGGTCCCATTCCCCCAGGCCTCCTGCCTCCTGCCTCCTGCCTCCTGGAGCACCACCAGACAGAACACCAAGGACTACACTCACTAAGCAGAGAGCTCCTTCACTGTCTAGATTTTGCACCAGTTCTAAAAGTTAAAATTAAAAGAAAAGACTACAGAGCGGATATCAGATTCCAGCTGAGGCATTAAACCTGAGCAGAGTAGACAGAGCTCCAGCTGGGGTTCTGAACACGGATCAGCAGCACCTCTGCTGTCAGTTGAAGCTCCAGACCACTAGGACACAGGTGAATCACCAGAGCCCCAGGCCTGGCAATGCAGCTCTGTGTTTAAAATGCAATCTCTCTGCTGTGCACGGTGGCACATGTCTGTAATCCCAGTATGCCCAAAGGCTGAGGCAGGAGGATTCTAAGTCTGAACTCAGACTAGACAATTTAGCAAGACCCTGCCTCCAAAAAAAGGGGAGGGGGGCTGGGAATATAGCTCAGTGGAAACACCCTGGGTTCAATCCCCAGTACAAGTGTGTGTGTATGTGTATGTATGTTTATAACAAACCAAGTTTAGGAGTTGTGTACCACTGTGTACAAAATGGAAGAACTGCTCCCCAACCCCAGGCTCTGGCCTCCTGGCATCAGTTAGCTGTTGGCTGAGTGGGGCTTCCTTCCCTCAGCTGCTGCTCTCCTCCCCATCCCCTCAAGTGAGCAGGCATTTTCAGCTTTAAGGAAAAAGTGGAAATACATGTTTTTCCTTAAAAATTGGAGGGCACAGGGAACAGGGAAAAGATAGGTAAAAAGAATTAAGATGTGTTATATATAGGTACCAACGCCCCTTGATGAATTTAAGTACAACAAACATGTATTAATGGAAAAAAAATAAAAATGAGGACACACTGACCTCTTTATGATCAACTGTAACTCCAAAATCACCTTAATGGGTACAAAGCTAGTATGTCCATAATTTTAGAATTCCCAATTTTTAAATTCTCATGGTCTAAGCCCATACTCCTAGCTATGTTACAGCTTCACACTACTAACAGCTGTACCAGGGACGATCTCCAGGGATTGCGCTGCTCTCTACTCACCAACAGGAGGCTTTAGCAGGAGTAAGTCCTGACTGTAGCAGAATCCAACCTCTGTGTTCCTGATACACTGCCTGTTCCGACAACCACGAGAGGAAGCGTGCAAACACAGCGTGCAGTTAGTTTTAACACGTCACACGGGGCACAGGTAAGACACACATCTCCACACCTACAACGGTACCTACTGAGGGGCCCTAAAGGTGCCTGGTAGAGGGAGGGAGAAGCCATGGCAAGAACATGAGGGCTGCCCAGAAGTGATTCTTCCACCACCCAAGCAGCCTGGGGACACTGGCATTTAACCTAAAATAGTAATAGAGGACCCTATGATATGAAAACAATTTCAAGGTGTACATATACATAAAGGACAACCACTCTACATGGTTACTCTATCTCTTTAAGCCGTGCGTTTATATACTAGCTGGACTTCTCCTTCTTCTCTAGAGCTGTACCTCCAAGAATGAAATGGGGTCAATCAACAGCCCAGAGAAGAAGAGGGAAAGCCAGCTGCCCTGCACTCACTGCTCTCACTGGTGAATCACAGAAGAGTCAGAGCCGCAGGGGCCATGACCAGTACAACTTCCCTCAGAATACTAAAGCTTGTCTCAGTTTCTACAAAAAAGAATGGAGAACACTGACAGAAGGGTTCTTGTTTGACAAACACTGGGTGGCTAAACAGGTAAGTCTACCCTGTCACAAACTGGGTAAAGAGCTTTCGACATCTTTAGCAGGTATTTGTGCTTCCAGTTGTACAGTATTTGTTTTCCCACAGGAATACCAGGAGTAGTAATGTCCTGCTCCACAGTTCTAGAAAAGACAGACAGCTGGTTGTGCTGGTGAGATTGGGCAATCATTGTAAACCTTCATTCTAAAGTCTAAGAGACCTGATGAAATTTACCTTACACTGACTTTCAGGTCACTGAAAACAATCTTCCTTACCAATGTGGGCATAGTTGCCTTCTACATAATATATCCCCTATACCTTTTTCTAGTTTATTTTTAATCTATTTAAACTTATCATTATGCAGGGTATGCCGGCGCATGTGTATAATCCTAGCACTCTGGGAGGCTGAGGCTGGAAAACTCCAAGTTCAAGTCCAGCCTGGACAACTTAGCAAGACCTTGTCTCAAAAATAAAAAAGCGATGGGAATGTAGTATAGTGTGAAGGCCCTGGGTTCCATCCCCAGTACCACCAAAAAAAACCCCACAACAACACCAACAACAAAAAAGCCTCCCCAGTCCCACCAACAAAAACAAAATAAGCAACAAACAAACTCATTGATACTACTCTTTATTTTTGTTTTGTTTGTTTTGTTGAAACAGGGTCTCCCTATGTAGTTCATGCTGGCCTTGAAATCATTATGTAGCCCAGGCTGGTTTTGAACTCTCAGTAATCCTTCTGCCTCAGCCTCCCCAGTGCTGGGATTGCAGGCATGTGCCACACTCAGCTATGTTAATATTGCTCTTAATGTTTAGAGAGAAAGTGTGATTCTTAATGGGGAAACAGAAATTGAAAGTAAAGGGAAAACAAAAGAGCACTGGTTTAGACTACTCAGTAGAACAATGGAAATTAAGCTGAAGGCCAAGTCACAGCTTATTTATTTATGATACAAGGTCCTACTATGTAGTACAGCCTGACCTTAAACTGGCTTTATGGCTCACATTAGTCTCAAACTCGTGATCTTCCCGCCTTAGCCTCCAGAGTGCTGGGATTAAAGGCATGCACTTCCATGCCTTCCCAACATTTGTAAGACAACAGCATGCTCCTTGAGGGAAAAAACGCTAACTCTTAAGAAGTTGATAGTTAAAAGACACATTGGAGTTTTCCCTTTGATCATATTTTTGAACTCTAACAAAACATAGCTTTTTATAAAAAGTCTTCCTGAGAGCCATCATTATCAAAAGTGTTCAGCTTAAAAAATTTTATACAAGTATACTTTTCTCTGACTTTCATATAGGCCGGTAAAAGCAAAAAAACCACTTATAGTAGGGGCCAGACAGGAAAATTGTAACAATCCCATTGGTACAGCTTATATAGCATAACCATGTGCATCAGAAAAAGAATGAATAAAGTCTTCACCTAACAGTGAGACTGTCAGCAATGACACAGGGCTCAGGACTCCATCAGCTTCACCCAGACGACTCAATCATCAAAACCACGCTGTGATGCCCATGCTACAGATGTGGAAACTGAGAGACAGCACAGCTAAATGACTTGCTTAAGGTTGTGCACCTGCTAGCACCAGAGCTGCATGTGGATCTAGTCTAGCTCCTAACCCTGTGCAGTGCCTTTTACTATGTGAGCAGGAGATCACAGCTAAGTCTGTCAGGGACCCATGGTCTACTCTTAACCAAGTGCATTCTTCCATCAGCGGTTATTGAAGGGACATCCCAACTCTCACTGGAAAGGCCATTGCCTTGCCATATGTCACTGGTAAGGGAGCAGGGCTGACCCAGTAGTTTCCACTAGGCTCTCACCTTTTTCCCTGTCCTTCTTTAGATGGCACATGTGTAAGTATATGGAAAGATAATAGTAGAGGAAAGGAAAAAGGAAAGATAGTTTGCAGAAGCTGGAAGTTGTGTGCTAAAGTTTACTTGGCCATTTTTTCCAGTGTGGGGAGAAGTCCAAGGAGCCACAGTGCAATTCTATTGGCAAGGAGGTGCTGCCTGCCACACACTGGAACCCACAGGGACATCAGCCTCAGCCCTGAGAACACAGATAGGTGCTCAGCTTTATTAGTTGGGCGAGTATGCTAAGGTTCAACCAGACAAGTTTATAAAAAATTCTATTATTATTGTTAACCATTTACAAACAAATGTTAGGGTTAATTCTGAAGCATTTACATCTGGGCATGCAACCAAACTCAGATGCTTTGTAACACATTAAATGGCCACTCTAGGTAATTATTAGCGCACACATGCTCCCAGCAAGTGGTGGGTTACATGGCCCACCACATACCGTCCATCTGCATCTTCTTTGGCTGCATAGAGGGGGAAGACATGGAAGAAGTGACTCGGAAGTTTGCAGGGAGTGTCTCGGCTGACCCAGCTGCCAGGCCGCGAATGTCCTTTGGTCTAAACTTCTTTCTCCATGAAGGTGCTCTCCTAAAGCTTTTGTCATCATCCTGGCAAATTAAAAAACAGAAAAAGTCATGGACAGACACACTCAGGAAAGATAACTGTTCTTTAGAATGATTCATAAACTCAAGATTCTTTTGGTTCAATTAACTCCTTCCTGGTGACCTTCCAATGTGCTGCTCAAATTGGAACTTCAGCGGGAAAGGAAGCATGGTGACATTCCTGTGGGGCCCTAACAGAGAAATGAGGACAGTCCTGGGCCACCAGGGATGTGATCTTCTCACTCATCATGATGTTTTGTTTCTTACTGTCGACAAAGCACTTTCCTACTATAAAAAGCATTTTTTTAATTTTCAAAATATTCAAGCTATAAATAATCCTGGCTTATGGTGGATATGCCAATAAGCACTTTACCATTAGAGTTAGCTTCTATCTTCTTTGTGAAAATCAAGTATTCTTAAAGCCCAGTGAAGAGAATTCTAATGTGTGAGAATATGTGAGCTATGATTTAGCACGAGGGGAAATTTAATATACTTCTGAAACAAACCTTCCAAACACAGGGATTGGGGCAGGACATTCACTTGTCACCAAAACACAGACTCTGATCACAGACTGCAATCTGTTCTATTATGTGAAAATTATTTTTGAGGGTTACCAAAAATTAAATAGTGGACTAGGAGTACAGCTCAGTGGTAGAGCATTTGTCTGGCATATGCGAAGCCCTATAGTGGGTTGGGGGCGCTGAAAACTTACTTCATCAAACCTTCTGTCAGTCCCCATGACCAAAAGGTTGTTAAACTCTCTTTCCAAGACAGCTCGAGCCTGAAGCAACAAAACAACAACTAAATATATTTGAAAGATGCTACACATTTCAATTTTTAAAAACAAAGACTTAAAAGACTCACATGCTTGTAACAAAATAGACAAAGACAGTGATTTGCTTATTTTGAACTATCATATTATAGATTAATTATGGAAAGAGAGTACTAGTTGTCAAGGGTTAAGTTTTCTCTCCATTCAAAGGAACAACTAAGTATCTATATTATAAACATGTTAGAACTGAACACCGTGACTAAGTGGGCACAGGGACAGACTCTGGTGTCACCTGTGTGTTCTGTGTTGGGATCTGTAACAACAGTGCCAGTGTGCTGAAATCGAAGGTTTCATCTAAGGCCAGAAGTGCACCGTGAACACCACTCTCTATGAGATTGTTTGCATATTCTTTAAGGCCAATGGATAAGATCCAGCGAATCACTCGATCATTGCTCCAAACAAGCACATCTGTGAAAGAACAAAACAACTGTAAATGCGGCTTCAAAAAGCCTCTTCATCACACACCTCCCATAACGCAGGAGAAAGATTTCTACTGTGGATCCTCATACTTCAGTCCCTGAAAACAGACTCCATCCCCACAAGTACTGGTGGACACAGCACCTAGACACAGGTATTTTGGCTCTGCCCCATTGTAACAAAAACTTTCCTCTTAGGATTCCTCCCCTAGTGAACTCAGGGGTCACAATAAGATTATGTATATGATATACTCAGGGAACAAAACAAGATGATTGATTGGGGATGAAGTTCAGTGGCAGAGCACTTGTCTAGCATGCACAAGGCCTGGAGTTCAATTCCTAGCACTGCAAAAAACAAAGAACAGGTTAAGGGTCCAGAGTCCAAACGCAGAAGGATGTAAGAACCCAAATACCTATCATGTAGGAGCACGTTTCCTGCATAGACCCCAGAGTCTCCTAAAATACTTTTCCATCACGAAAGGAGAGACACCATGACAGTTCAGATAGCTTGTTCAGGTCAACACAAACCCTTTGCTTCTAATCTTGAAGCTTTGGTTATGTTAAACATCTTAACATATCTCTCATTTTAAAAAGACAGAACCTTAAAGACATTCTCTAGCATACCAGAGACTGTGGAGACCTTATCTAGTGCAAATAAATTATTACTTTGCTCTATTAGAGACCTAAAAATAGGCACTCCAGAAATATATGATAACCAATCCTTTCAAAGACAGCTTTTGTCAACCGAAGAAATATGTAGAACAGATACAGAAAACAAACAGATTGATGTATTTCATTTCTGATCTTCTTTTCTACATAAACCTCAACCTGTTCTGTTTTTTTTTTTTTTAGTGCTAGGAATTGAACCCCAGGCCTTGTGCATGTTAGGGAAGTGCTCTGCCACTGGGCTACCTCCCCAGCTAATCAATCATCCTTTTATTTAGAAAAGGACATCAGAATGAGGATGAAAATAACACTCACAGAACCATGGTGCCATCTGAGTAAATCAACCATGGAAAGCCTGACACAGTGCCTGATACTACTCACTATTCAATAAGCCTTGCTTCTTCTCATCATTGTAGTGCTCTTAGCAACTTCTAACAATTCTGGGAGATTCCCTTGAGCATGATGTTCAGCACTGTATGCAGAGGGAATGCCTGTCTCTGTCATTTTGAGGGGTGCTGCCATGCCCTCTTACACTTTCTGGCCTGTTTCTTATTGACATGTCTTTCCCTTGCCCATAGGATACTCTGTTCCTTCTTCAAGGACTACAATTCCAATTATTAGGGATGCTGCAGCAAGAGGATTACAAATTCAAACCCAGACCAGGCAACCTAGTGAAGTCCTGTCTCAAAAAAATGAAAATTAAATTTTAAAAATGGGGGTGCTACGCTGAAGGTTGCCTGGCCTCTCCCTCCCTCTGGGAGCAGAACTGCAAGGTGCTCTGTGTGCTGCCACAGCCCTTAGAGAAGACCCCAAAGACGTGGTTATTTTTATTTTCTTTTTTGTCTTTTTGAGACAAGGTCTCGCTATGCAGTTCAGGCTGGCCTTGAGCTCACTTTGAAACCCAGGCTGGTCTCAAACTTGCAATGATCCTCCTGCTTCAGCCTCTCGACTGCTGGGATAACAGGCATGCGCTAGCATGCCCAGCTCAGAGCCACCCAGTAAGCAAGAGGCAGTGGCTTGTTTGCCTTGCTCTGATCTAATAGCATCGGACAGCATCTCTGAGAGAGCATATACAGTGTATAACAACAAAAGGAAAACTACATGGAATAATGCCAGCCCCAAGATGGGCAGCCTACAGACTGAGATAAGCACACACTTCCTCAGGGCACTCCTTTCATTCCACCCTTTTGTTATCAGGCCAGTTGTTTCCACTTAAAAGTCTTCCCTGATTCTTTTTTTTTTTTGGTGGTACTGGAGATGGAAGCCAGGGTCTTCTTCATGCTAGGCAAGTGTTCCATCACTGAGCAACATTCCTAGCACCCCTCCTTTTAAAATCTAGTTTTAATTTTTTGAGACAGGGTCTTGCTAAATTGCCAGGTCTGGCCCTGAACTTGTGATCCTTCTGCCTTAAGATCCCTAGTAGCTGGGATTGCAATTGTGTGCCACCATTCCCGGCTAAACGTGTGGTTATTTTGCTTTTCTTTTTGCAGTACTAGAGATCAAACTTAGGGCAATGCAAATGCTAAGCAAGTGCCTTACCACTAAGCCTACGATTTTTTTTTTTTTTTGAGGTACTCGGGAATAAACAGGGCTTTTGCACTGAGCTATATCTCTAGCTTTTTATAATTTTTATTTTGAGAGAAGGTTTTACTAAGTCTAAGTTGCCTAGGCTAGGCTTGAACTTGTGATTCTCCTGCTACAGCCTCCCAGAGTGCTACAATTACAGGTATGTGCCACTGAGGCTGCTTCGCAGGCAGCAGGCATGTGCTACATCCGTCAAGCATAATGTACTTGCCTTTTATTTCATTCTGACTTTCTTCTCTTTTTCTTTCCAGTTCTTTTCGATCATAATTTAACCTTCGTAGGCACATAATCCCACACTGGAAGCTGTTTCTATTTACAAAAATAAGAGATTATTTAAAGGTGGCAACTGTGAAAAGTCTCTTGGTTCATTAGTCAGAATCATTTGCACTAACTCACCTGTGAAAACTGTCAACCATTTTCAGCTGCCCTCGCAGGTCTTTCTTGGTCAGATGGTCTAGCATCCGGGCATCCACAAGGCACTCCATGAAGTAGCTGCGGTACTGAGGAAGGCCCAGGCTGGGTAGCCACTCGTTGCCAATCCACTCGTGGTTCATGTCCCCATATGCAAGTGTCTGGTTTCAATAAATGGGTGACATCAGTTCAGATTTTTAATCTAGATGATATTCTCAAAGGCTAAATTAATGACAACACCGCTCTTTATAATTTCCAAATAATTTGGTCTCCCCATTCCTATCTTTCAAATTTTTTAAAGTTTTAATACAAACAGAAATCATATCATTAAAGTTTTATGACTCATTTGTGATAAATTTATTTACCAAACTACAGTAAAACCATAACTGATTACAATTCCCTTTCTGAAATGGTTTTTAATGCAATAATATAAGAACAAAGAACGATCACGACTCATGAACAAGTTTGAAGAATCAATTCAAATCATTAAAATCAACTCTGGCTGGTTTTGATTTTATTTTTAATACTTTGTTTTCCTAAATGACAATTTGGTGTATTTGAAAATCAGTGAAAATAAATTTAAAGAGATAAACCAACAACTAATAAGACGGAATATAGAAACAGAAACACACAATTAAACTTGGAAGACTTCAATGTTCCCCTCTTAATAACTGGTTGAACAAGCCAATTTTAAAAAAAAGAAAAGGAAAAAATTCAGGAAGGATATAGACTGAAATAATACTATCAATCAACCTAACCTAGCTATATCTTACAGAATATTCCACCCAACTTTTTAAGACAGAAGTCCCACTACATTGCCCCGGCTTGAGCATAGTAGTGGCTACCCATCAGCACTCCCCGTGCAAGGAGGTCCCACACTGATGCCAATCCTAGTGTAAACACTCAAATGTCATAGAACATTATAGCATCCAACTTCTGGGCTCAGCCAACCTTTGTGCCTCAGCCGCTTGAGTATTTGCAACTACAGGGGTGCATCACCACATCTAGCTTCAGGATGTATTTTTTTGGTTGGGTATGGTGGTGCATGCCTGTAATCCCAGCATTCAGGAGGCTGAGGCAGGAGTACTCTGAGCTTCAGACTATCCTGGACTACATTAAAAAAATGAGGAATCATGTCCAATGTGTTTATTGTCTCAGGAATAGGCTGGTTTAACAACTGACAGGGAAAAAAAACAATGAAATCTACACATATCAAGAGAAAGACAAAGAAAGCCATAACATCTCATAGTATCTCAATCACATGTGACAAGATCCACTGTTCATTTATGAACTCTCAGCATTCTAGGAATGAAAGACAACTGCCTCAATCTGTTAAGGGCCATCTACAAAAAGCCTGGAGCTAACATCTTCCTCAGCAGTGAGGTGCTGAATGTCTCCCTGAACAGAAAGAAGCAAAGGGGGTGTCCACTTTTGACTGCTTATGTTCGGCACTGTGCTGGAATCCTGACCACTGCAATGGCAGGAAAAGAAGGTCTCACAACTTTTTTAAACAATGAGTGAGAAATACACCACTCTGGTAACCACTAAGATACCTAACAGTGCTACCACGACTCAGTCCTTCAGTCTTTATTCTCATGGGCCTGGTATTCATGGCCTGAATATTTGATGTTTTCTGGCCTGCTGACTGTATCTTTCAATAGGCAGAAGAAGGAAAGAAATTTTCCAAATAAAAAATTGTGCAGAAGTAAACACTTTGTATCTCTGTTTACTCAATATATCCTCTGACTATTCTTTTGCAGTCACTGAGAATATGGATTCTAGCAGCTCAGACTTTGTTTCAGGGAGCACCTCCTCCTCTCCTGGGCTGCCAGCACTGCCTTCTGAAGAAGTGCGCAAAGGGACCTCATGCTCCAAGCATGGGCAAGTCACCTCCAGCCTCAAGCTCAGTAAAATGTGAGCTCCATGAGGGTGGGACTGCAGCCATCCTGCTCACTGATGGCTCCTGAAGGTGGCACAGTCTTCACACACAACTGGTCTTGTCTTGTATCTGTTAAGCAAACAGTGCTGATTACACCTCAGTGTTTTTTTCCCAAGTTTAAATCTCCCCTTAGGAATTAAACCACTCAGTGCCAGCACAGGGAAAGCACAATGCACAGCTCTGTCCTGGTGGCTCCATCTGGGAGATGATGGTGGGAAAGTGCACCAAGCTTCTGCTGGACAGTGCATGTGGGGTAAATCTGGAATCTCCTGCATTGTCCCTTCTTATACTTTCACTGCAAAAAGCAAATGCTAAGCTTATTTAATGATACTTCATGCCTCTGATGCTGGCTATTTTATATCAAAGTGGTGACTATGTTCTACTTTGCCATGTTAAATATATGGAAACTTAAGTAATTATGAAATGCACTGTTTAATTCACTGATGGTCACTATTGGTCCTATAAAGAGATCTCCAACTTGGTTAATTTAGGTGATTTATCTGGAGGCACAGGGTACCTAAACCCAGACAGGGAAATCCAGTTAGTAGCTACTCTCTTCCTTCTTAATTTCTAAACTTTTTATATTTTTGAGACAGGGTCTTAGTATGTAGTCCAGGCTGGCCTTGAACTCACTATGTAGCCCAGGCTAGCCTCAAATTTGCAGCAATCCTGCCTTAGCCTCTCAGGTGCTAGGATTATAGATGTACGCCATGGTGGCTGGCCTTTCTTCCTTTTTAAACAAACAACAAACAAGACAAGCAACCAGGTGCTATAACTGAGTACTCTTTAGAAGTGCAGACAGAAACAACTATTTCAAGCATCATCTTATAATCAAAAAAATTCTAAAACTGGAAGTTACTTATGCTTGTTTTCAGATGTATGCAAACTCTTCTGAGCCCCTGAATACTGTGCCATTGTGAAAAGCTCAAGAACTGCAAGTCCCCTGGGAATGCACTGTGTCCACCAAAGGCCCACAACAGCTGAGGGAAGCTGGGAATTTAATCAAGTCATCTAAATGCAGAGGCCGCAAAATGACTGGGGCACAGCTTTCTGTGAGGTGAAGAATTAGGAAGCTGAAAATTTCAATCTCCATGAAGTGGTAACAGGCTTAATTTCTAAGATCCAAAATCAACACAGCAGTAGGACAGTACTTACTAAAACACCAATACAAAGACACAGAAGAAAGGCCCTATGCCAACTTTAAGGTTTGGAAGTATATTTCGTGATTTTCTCATCTGTGGACCTTATACCTAAAACTAACCTAGCAGGGAGCTACAGGTACATAATCTCAGGAGCTGCCTAAGCCAGGAAACTTTGCATAAAAGATTCTATTAATAAATAAAGCAACCTATGTTAATTAAAAGTAACTATCATGACTCCATACAAGAAATGTTCAAAATTGTCCATGAGACGTACTCTTTAAACCTGTGCTTTGCTTGACTAATGCTTCAAGTCATTAACAATACCATGAGTAAATTAAGGTGCGAAAAACATACACTAAAGCAAATCACACAAGTTTACATGCTCAATTGCTTTTTATTGCTACAGAATGAAGAAATATTATAGAAAGACTCCAACCTGAGCCCAGCTTCCCTCCTCATCTTCCTGATGTTAGGTGGTTAGGAATGAAAAACAACATAACTATTAGTATTAGTGAGCTTCAGTAGTGCAAGCAAATTAACTCTGCAGGGAACATGCATCTTTGACTGAGTGAAAAATGTTCAAAATATGAAGCATCATGCAAAACTCATGCAAAACCAAGAATTTCCACTTCCCATGCAAGGAGCAGACTTTTTCCATGCCAAGCAGACTCGTAAAGGAGAAAGCTGGGGTTAGGCAATCACAACAGAGTGCTCAACTGAGGTCTCTCCAAAAGGAGACGCAAATCACATCTTCTTGAAATGGGGCAAGTCTACAAACTAAGTTCCTGTAAAATATCTTAAAAATGCAAATTTGACTCTACCCATTAACTAATAACCTAAAAAGAATACGTATTCAAAACGAATGCAAAATGACTTTTGTTTTCAACAAAAGGCAAAGGACCCAATCAGTCTGGAGTGGCAAATACACTTTGGAGCGCAAGCTGCAGGGCTGACTGACCGTTTGTGGCGTGGCTGCGAGTGTTTCCATCTCTTCGTGCGTTAACCAGACATTTCCTGTGGTCTAAGGAGACCCCAGTGCACCAACCACATCCAGGGCAAGGGAAGCGTGACAGAGAGGAGAGGGGCACACATATAAGCCACAGGCACAGAGAAAGAGCCATGAGGCAAGGTCACTCTTTGCATATTTTCATTTCAGATGCCCACAGAGAAAATCCAAGATCATTAACACAAGCTCATCCCCTTTTAAACAATAACCACGCCTTGTTAACAGTGTTGTCAGGAACAGAAGGAGAACAACACATGATTTCCAGAGCGTAGATATCATGCTTACCAGTACGTATGAGAGAACAACACACTTTATACTTCTGAAAACTTTCTCCAGTAAAGAGTGATTCCGTATACAGTATTTACAATGGTCTAACCAACTTGGAGGTATAGCTCATGATAGGGTGTTTTCCTGGCTCTCCCAAAGCCACAAAACAAAACAAAACAAAACGCAAAAAGTAGTCTCACCCAAACACAGGCTAACAATAGGAAGCTCTCATCTGGGCCTCCTGGGGCTGTTTTCAGCGGATGACCAAAAGCCAGAGGGAGCCCAAGAGGCCAGGGCAAAGGATAGTGAGCCACAGGAGAGTCAAACAATGCAGACACCAAAAACAATGACCTGTGTCACCATCAGAGCCAGCCATGAGACTGATGGCCACCCTGCTGGGCCACTCTAAGCTCCCTAGGGGAGTAATTTCTGTCTGTACCTGATGGTGTGGAGAGTCTTCCCGATGTGAGATCCAGTCCTCACTAATAGTTAAACTGAATCATGGAAACTCCCTTTTGGAAGAGGGTTCTTAAAAGCTTTGGAAAAACCACACAGCATCCTCATTTCTAGAAAGGCCACACTAATGTGAAAACAGCTAGAGAAGAGACTGATTCTAGTTACAAAGCATTCCAACAGGAAAAGAGTTCTCTGAGCTACAGGTAATAAAAAAAGGTTTACTGTTCATTTTCTTAACTCTCTAACAAACAACAAAATCTCAACACATTTTTTGTGTCTCAAGTTACTGTGAGCTGCAGGCAGACCTTGGCCTACTACTCAGCAGTATGTGTACAAGGCTCTAAGAGTCTGTCTTCTCTCTAACACAGAGGACTGAACAGCCAAATAAAAAACCCCTGAACTCTGCAAATTAGGAGCCGGCCTGCTCTTGCCTCCTAATGACCACTAATGTTTCATCAGAATAGTTACCAGGAAGCTCTTTGAGGACGCTTCGAGACTCCCCAAGTAGAAAGCATCTGTGTGCATACAGGTAGCACTGAGCAGACACCTGCAGCTCCCAAGACAGAGAGCACCTGCTGGCCCCACAGTGACACACCAGCACGGTGCACCCAGTGAGCTCATCGTTTTTCCTCCTTTCCCTCTTTTTTGTAGGGAAAAAAAAATGTTCACTAAGAAGAGAAGATTAGAACTCTCTAGGAACCAGTTAGATTTTTGGGTAGTGACCATCCCTTGCTAGCACATCAGCTGTATTTCACAGGCACTTCTGAGTTATGTGGAAGAGCCCGAACTCTGCAGCGGACATACAAATTTACTCCTTAAGTCCTGCCTTCCTGTGAAGTGACACAGATACACTCATACAAAGAACATTGAGTACGGTCAGCACAATCCCATTTCTAGCCTAGGTACCAGAAGCCAGGTGTTGATGCCCTGGGGAATGTATGTGAGGGTTTATATAGTCCAGGACTTATCTGTACATTTTGCTATCTGTATTTCTCAAGAAAAATTTAACATTTACAGCATATAATTTCCTTAGCAGCTATCTATATACAGGACAAGTGCTAATCATTCAGTATGAACCATGAAATAGAAAATGAAATCCAAGAAATATAAAATATTACTTAAGATGTTAATTTTTCCTTCCTCAAGAGGTCCTCAGACTTATTCAGTTTTGACAAATTCATATGTAAATTTGTGACAATTTTCTATCTTTCAAAAAGGCCTCATTTTTTAAATGAGGCTTTTCTAACTAAGCTTTTATACAAGCATTTGGCACATATTCTTTGGATCACTCAATTCCCACAAGTTAGGGGTTATCTATACTTTACTGTAATTTTAAGTTGAAGCCACCCTGAGTGTGATTATGAAGCACCAGGGAAGCAATATTAGCAGGACACTGCCTTCATCGGGGTCTGCCTGCCTTCTCCCCAGAGGTTACACACAGAGCCTCTGTGAACACACCGTTCTTGATGTGGGTGGGGCGGATGGGCTGGTTAGCGACATGATCTCCTGGATGGCCAGCCGCAGCTTCAGTCTGTGCAGGGGGTTACTGATGCCAATCTCCCGCTGGATCTCTGTGTCTGACAGGGCTGACATGATGGCCCCACTTTTCACATTTGCTCTGCAGGCAGCCACATACCAGGCGGGCATCCCAACCCAGAGCTGGAAATAAGAATGAAGCATCAGAACATCAGGCAGGGATAAGAGATGTATTAACAAGTTTGCATCACAAAGCATAGCCGTACTAAAGGGATGTACCTCCAGCCATACAACCACCGTTGGCCCGTCCCACTGCGCAAATGGTAAGCCTTGCCTCCGGGCTTCCTCCAGCAACTCATGTCTGTGAATAAGACATTCAAATTAAAGAATCACTGTTATACATAAAACAAGTTAATGGAGTATTGTCTTTGAGCATTTTCAAAAGTGTAATAATGGATATTCTCATTTCCTTTCATCTTCTACAGCTTTAATGTTATTAACAGCACCCCTGTAATGCCAGTCTCATACACACTATGGAGAATGCCTGAGCAAAAAAAAAAAAAAAAGCTAGAGTTCTCTTGATTCCCAATCAAATTACCATTACTTCAATTTTAAATTAGTAATTTTTTTTTGGTACCAGGACTTGAACTCAGGACCTTGCACTTGCCAGGCAGGTGCTTGCGCCACTGAGCTATACCCTGGGCCCCACCATTATTTTATAGAATTTAAGTATTACTACCAGCTTATGAAGCCCAAGCAGAATTTGCACATCCAAAGTAATAGGACAATTAGGGGAAAACATAACACTGATTCCCTTTTTAACAGTGAAGAAAAAATGTCTAGGAAGAGGAAACCACACCTTAGTCAAGACATCAGTGCCTATCTTTGTGAGAGTCTTTTTAAAAAAGTGAGTTTTGGGCAGGTGGAGGTTTAGGGGATGTTGAGACAAGATCTTCCTATGTATGTAGCCCGAGCTGGCTTCAAGCTCTGTGTAGCCAGTCTCCCCAGTGCTGGGATTATAGGTGTGCACCACACACCAAGCTGCAATGTAGAGTTTTAACAACAAAAATGCTATCATCTAATATAGCAAACAAGTAATGGATGACAGTTTCTACTCTACACTGTTCTTTAAGTAAATAGGTACTTGATAAATTAAGTCACTGGGTCATCCTGTGGTTTAAACCCATAGGTCTCTTCTCTAGAGGGCCAGAAATCCCAACGACTCGTTCCATTGCAGAATGCATCATAAGCACAGAGCGCATGCAACATCAAGGCTGTGCTGCAGGGAAGTAGGCAAGGGAGTCTTGACGCACGCCTTGATGTGATTGGAGGTATCACACATGCTTTATTTTTAAATACCCAAGTCACAATTTTACTACACTAATGTCTCTAGAAATGATCTAACAGAGGCATGTGAAAGATTAACAGTATAAGTAGGGTAAGTCTTATTTCTGAAGTGCTCACCTACAACACTTTTTAAAAAGAGACTTAACAGCCTAGAAGGGAGGACAGCATTAGAACAGAGAGGATAGGTATGTTTAGTTTATGTGCACAAACACCCAAGTCAATCTCAGTCAGTCAGTCAGTCTGTCTCTCTTCCCTCCCCGTCTCTTTCTTTTGAAGGATGGGGACTGAACCTAGGGCTTCTGCATTAAGCTACAATTCAGCCCCATTTTTTAGTTTTGAGGTAGGGTCTCACTAAGTCACCTAGGCTGGGTCTGAACTTGTGATCACCCTGCCTCTGCCTTCCAGAGTGCTAAGACTGCAGACGTGTCATTATATCTGGCTTTTTCTTTCTTTTTCATACGGTGGTGTGGATTGAACCCAGGGCCTCACATGCGCTAAGCATCCACTCTACCACTGAGCTATACACCTCAGCACACACACCCCCACCATTCCTAAACGTTTAGGTTGTTTTTAGTTAGTTATTTTTCTACAATTATTTGTGCGGAACATTCTATAGAAACTTCAAAAGATAAATACTGGGTAATAATAGTACTGGCCTTTTCTTTTCATACTGTAAAGTCTACTACAATTAAAGTTTATGTTTCTAAGTAAAATATTTCACATAAAATTTCAACTAAGAGTTCCTTAAGTCACTCCTAGACTTGCAGAAACAATCACCAGAGAGTAACTGTACCAGAGAAGGCAGCAAATATTTTAGTATCTCAGGTGGAGCAAAAAAAATGGAGAGACTTCCTAGCTGAAACAAGTAAAACTACTCATAAAGAAACAGATCAGCAGAAGTGTGCTTATATGTACAAGAAGTAGTAGGTGATCCCAAAGACTGCCAAACCTGGCTAGAGAGTTGCTGTAACTCATTTACACAAACAAGAAAAACACACACACCCACACATGGAAGCCACAGGAAGCAGTGTAAATCAACTTCAAAGCAAAGATCTGAACTTCTGTAACATTAAGTTAAGGGTCCATTCTGGATGCTGTGTCCAGGCCAGGGAGAAGGACGACTGCTGCTGCAGGTCAGGAGGGCTTCCAGATTGTGTTCACATTCAAGTGGACTAAGTAGGTACTATGTCCTCAGTACTCTGAGATGACTTTGTCGGATTTTTAATTATTTTTTGTTAGTACTGGGGATGGAACCAAGCACTCTATCACTGAATTAAATCCCCAGCCAGTTTTACTTTATTTATAATCTTGAGACAGTTTTTCACTAAGTTGCCTAGATGGGCTTTGAACTTTGAACTCAACCTCCCTAGCAGCTTGGGTGATTAAAGGTGCATGCCACTGCACCAGCTGTAATTTTTTTTTTTTTTAGTACATATCAGACATGTACTGTGAACAAGGGACAAGGAATCCTTCAGCCCCCACTACCTGAAGCTTAGTATAAACTGCTCTGGCCTTTATTTGCACCTCCTTCCTGGCAGTGACTGTGAGCACTTAGAGATAAGCCCAGGGTCCTGATGCAGCAGTGGGAAGGGTGTGAAGGCAGTAGAACTAGGATGGTGCATCCAAAAGTCATGCGATGTTAGGAAATAAGTGCAGAGGACCCTGGCTGGGTAGTTGGCCCAAGCTCCACATACAGATAGCGACCCCTCCCCGACCAGGTAGTCTGTGAACTATGAGAATGGGCACCTAACCTTGGCTAACACTACAGATGGGCACATTAGAGCCCAGTTTTCTTGGGAGGGTGGTGGTGGTAGAATTGTTCCCAAAAGTGCACAGAGCCCCTGTGTTAAGATGCAGAATCTGGAATCTGCAGACACCTGTGGCCACCTCCACTCTGGCTCTTTGTGATGTTTGGTGATATGCACAACTACCTTCTTTTTTCATTGCATCTTGCAACTGGGTCTCTTTTGTTTGCTACTGAGAATACTTACTGCAGAACTCCATTTCTCCAAATCTCTGATGTGTTTGAACTGAATAGCTACATGGTGTTTACTCATTTGCCTGATTGCCCATGTGGGTAAGGTTACCCATCTACCCATATGATCATTTTCTAATAGGAGAATCACCTGTTTTCCCCTACTCTACTAAAACTGCAAACATAAATATGACAAAATACTTAAGCTTTAGCAACATGCTCAATTTTCTAGATAACAAGAACTCTTCTAGCCATTAGCCCCAAAGCTTCAAACAAGGTAACCAAGCTGGGTATGGTGGCATACATCGATAGTCCCAGCATGTGGGAAACTAAGGCAGGAGGATCACTATGAGTTTAAGGCCAGCCTGGACTATATATGGAGCACCCCCAACCCCAACCACTAAAAAAAAAAAAAAAAAAAAAAGGCAAACAAAAACACAGTAACCAGAGGGTAATAGGACTCTTTCTAGAATGCCTTTCTAGATCCTCTATCCACATCAAATATGCACCAAGAGCATCTCAGTGATATGCCAGTGGTCCTAGAGATTGATGTGTTGTAACCACCAGTCCCCCAAGTTTTTCCTGATATTTGTTTGCTCCCTAGGCTGTGAGACATTGCATCCCACTGCTTCCGTCTGTTGACTTGTGAGGCAAGCCAAGCTGGGGTCCTTTGCAGAGAGTGAGTGAGCACTAGACGGCTCTCCTCATGATATGGTCAGAGTTCCTTTTCTGCAGTCTCCAGCTTTTCCCATAGAATCAAACACAAGACACCAGGGTTGATTTTTAAAATATCTGCTCTAATGCCAGGTGTAGTGGTACATGCCTGTAATCCCAGCACTCAAGAGGCTGAGGTAGGAGGATTGCCATGAATTGAGGCCAGCCTGGGCTACAGAGAGTTCAAGGTCAGCCTGAACGGTAGAGTGAGACACTTTCTCAAAACAAAACAAAACAAAAACAAACAAAAAAACCCAGAAAACAAACAAACAAACAAAACACACAAAGTATCTGCTCTAATGCAAACTAATGTGGGCAGCTTTCTGCATTTAAAACTAGACACTGAGGGCTGAGTCTGGCTCACTGGCAAAGCACTTTGCCAAGGTGCTATGTTTGATCTCCAGCACCAATATACAAACACACATACACACATACACACAGTTGGAGGAGACAGACATTTTAGATTTTTTTTTTTTTTTTTTGCCATGCTAATGATGGAGCCCAGGGCTTTGAGCGTACTAGGCAAGTGTTCTACAACTAAGCTTCATTCCCAGAGCAAAATATGCTAAATTCTATGAAGGAACAGATGTATAAAATAAAGGTCATGTAATCTGTGAATTATGATACATTTTATACTTTGGACAGAAGCACAATGGTAAAGCTGTCCTTCATTCCAAGAAGCTTATGTGGGTTTCTGTGGAATAAACATTATCTAAGTGACATACAACAAGCACTTTAACGCACCAAAGTAAATATACCACTCTATTTCCATGAGACGGACACTTTTCAACCTCAGGGGTGTCTTGCACAAAGGCTAAGGAGCCTTTCTCTCATGGATGCAGCTCTGTGACACAGGCTGGCATTCCACATGCCAGTCACAGTGTGAGGAAGAGTTCCAGGGACTGGTGTCTGTTCCTTGACAAGGAATGGAAGCAACTTTTCTTACTAAACCAGAAAGATACTCTTGGGAAGCTTAGCACAGAACCCGAAGCTGGTAACACCAACACTCCACACTGTCTGATTCAGGGCTCAACACAGTAGGACTCATTATGTAGTGTGATTTCCCACAAGCAACTGCACTACAGTGCCACAAAGTAGGAAGGAGAGCACCGCAAAGACAAGGTGACTCAGAGATTGAAGTTTGGAAACTACAGGACTCTATGAGCTGATGAATGGACTCAAGTCTGGGTCTTGGTGCTCGCTGGATTCACTACTGAGCACCTCAAGTGCCAACAGAGGCCCAAATTCTTCCAGTTAAGTCTCAGAGTGTGAGACTTGCTGTCCAGCACATACACTGGGTCCTTGGAAGCCTCCCTTAGTGAAGG